TCACTGCAGCCTCAGCTTCTGTTCTTGGATGACAGAAGCGGAACCCGACATGGTTTTCTGCTGTTGTAGCCCATCCACCTCAAGGTTAGACGTGTGGTGCGTTCTGAGATGCTTTTTTGCTCATCACAACTGTACAGAGTGGTTATCTGAGTTACCATAGCCTTTCTGTCAGCTCCAACAAGTCTGGCCATTCTCCGCTGACCCCGCAGCACTTTATACTGCAGGATAAATAAACAGCCTTCAAAGAGTGTGTATTGGTTCGGGCATGTGGATCCTCTTAGTACCCAGACGGAACAAATAGGGCCTGATGATATCTGTGCAATAAAAACACACACATCTGTAATTTCTAGTTCAGTTTCGTTTGAAAGAATCATCACACGCGTCTTTAAACTCTGCTAGAAATGTAGTAGAACTTATTTCATTTACTACGTTTTGATCGGAAACAAAATGGTTAAAATTTTGAAATGCGCAAAGAAACACTGTCCAATCAGCAAACCTGTTGATTGGACAGAACAGCAGTTGGAGCTCTACCTATATCAGGACTCTTGACTGAAAATGGTACTGTTAAACTGACACAATACGTTAGCGCATGTTCTAAACTTCGAGAGAACCCAGTGGAAATTATTTGTATATCTAGTACTTGGCGAGTAAAGATTCTGATTCAAATAAAATGTATGCAAGTATATGCAAAATATATGCAAGCTTCAAAAAATCAGTATTTAATCTAGAACAGTCAATAAACCTCACATGAATTGCCATTAGCTTAACACTAACATACTACTAGAATCCCATAGGGGGGCTAGCAGAAGTTATTATTATCAGAGGGTTTTTTCCTCTTTTTTTGTCTGAATTGTGACTTTTATGTCCCAAACTGAAGACCTAAGTCTAATAGTCGTGGTTCACCACTGACCACTGGACATGACTAGTTTAGAAAGCGGCAATTCAAAAGCAGCTTCCAATGTGAGCTTTTAACGTAGCTCGATTCTGTTAACAAACCTTTCTGGCCGACTGAAAAAGCCTGATGAAGATGAAGGGAGGTCGGCCACTGAAGGTGGGTCGGCCACTGAAGATGGGTTGGCCACTGAAGGTGGGTCGGTCACTGTGTGTCATGAATCACGTCATTTACTGTTTGGATTGCTGTAGTAAAAAGTGGTTGAGAGGACATTCGTACCAATAAAGCATCACCTGACTGTATTTTGGTACTGAAGCTTGCTAATGAGTTATAAATACAGTGTATATACAATAAACATTTATCTCTGCTTTTAAACGCTTAATGCTGGTCACAAGATTCACTGGCTTGGTGACCCGAGTGGCCAGTGCATTTATTTGTTTCAGTCTACACCTGAAAGCACTGCGATCTTGGATAAAACAAATAGATTAAAGGACATCAAACACAATCATCGGTTATCATTATGAGCCCTAGAGGTCCAAGTAAGTGCTTCCGTACACACAGTGCAGATTTCCATCACTGTTCCACTGGCGCCACTGTCCACCTCTGTCCAACCGCAGTCTGCTGAAGCGGCTCTCCGGCCGTCCCACAGGCTGAATTATGGGTAATGCCGTCTGTTTTTACCCCTGGTTAATCTAATCAGGTGTGGAGGGGAGGCAGACGCTTCCGAGCGGCCGGGAAACATTAGAAACCTCAGCAGAGCTAAACTGCGTTTACTGAGGACTCAGAGACCCGACACGTCTGCTGACCTGACAGCACGCACAAATACGCTGAGCTGCCACTTTATCAGAAACACCAACCTTGTTTCTGCTTATTGGTCACTTTATTAGAAACACCTACTTTGTGTTTCTAACTGGCCACTTTATTAGAAACACCTAGTGCTTCCACTAACTGGCCACTTTATTAGAAACACCTAGTGCTTCCACTCACTGGCCACTTTATTGGAATCACCTACCTTGTGTTTCTAACTGGCCACTTTATTAGAAACACCTACTTTGTATTTCCACTAACTGGCCACTTTATTTGAAACACCCACCTTGTGCTTCGACTCACTGGCCACTTTATTAGAAACACCTAGTGCTTCCACTAACTGGCCACTTTATTAGAAACACCTACCTTGTGTTTCTAACTGGCCACTTTATTAGAAACACCTAGTGCTTCCACTAACTGGCCTCTTTATTAGAAACACCTACTTTGTATTTCCACTAACTGGCCACTTTATTAGAAACACCCACCTTGTGCTTCTACTAACTGGCCACTTTATTAGAAACACCTACCTTGTGTTTCTAACTGGCCACTTTATTAGAAACACCTACCTTGTGTTTCTAACTGGCCACTTTATTAGAAACACCTAGTGCTTCCACTAACTGGCCTCTTTATTAGAAACACCTACTTTGTATTTCCACTAACTGGCCACTTTATTAGAAACACCTACCTTGTGTTTCTAACTGGCCACTTTATTAGAAACACCTAGTGCTTCCACTAACTGGCCTCTTTATTAGAAACACCTACTTTGTATTTCCACTAACTGGCCACTTTATTTGAAACACCCACCTTGTGCTTCCACTCACTGGCCACTTTATCAGAAACACCTACCTTGTGCTTCTACTAATTGGCCACTTTATTAGAAACACCCATTTTGTGCCTCTACTAACTAGCCACTTTATTGGAAACACCCTCCTTCATGTTCACTAACTGGCCACTTTATCAGAAACGCATGCCTTGTTTGTCAACAGGAAAAAACATTCTAGAATAATGAGAATGTGGGAGAACATTCTGGAACAGCATGAATGGGGAGAGCCTTCTAGAACAGTGTGAATGGTTGAGGACATTCTAGAACAGTGTGAATGAAGGAAAGAACGTTCTCGAGATTTGTTTATTTATTTGTATATTTATTTATCACCTTTCTTAAGTTCTGTTCTTTTCGTTCAGGGTTTAAGCAGTTCTTAAGGGTTTGGAGTTTGCTGTCAAAACCAACCCTCAGCTCCAGACACCCTCCACTTACTGAGAGCGAGAGAATGAGAAGAGGAGAGGAGGAAGAGAAAGAGAAAAAAGGAGAGTGAGAGAGAGTGTGAAAAAAGAGAGATATAAAAAAGAGTGGATGACAAGGGAAAGAGAGGAAGTATAGAGTGAGGGAAAGAAAGTGAGGAAAGGCTCAGAGAGGAGAGAAAAAGTAAAAAGAGAGAGAAAGCAAAAATGGAAAGAGAGGGAGGAAGATGAAAAAAGAGAGAACGCTTGGACTCTCAGCTTAAAACACCTTCAACCTGTAGAAAAAGAGACGATGATGAAACTGTTTAGGTTGCTGTCTGTGGAGCTGAATCCTACAGTGAGAAATGTAGGCTGCTGTCCATGGTGCTGAAACCCCACTCGGTGCAGGTCTGTGTAGCTGCCCATGGTGCTGACCTCCCCCTCAGCGCAGGTCTGTGTAGCTGTCCATGGTGCTGAACCCCTAGGTGCTGATCTATGTAGCTGTCCATGGTGCTGAACCCCACCCCCCCTTTTCTTCTCAGTGCAGGTCTGTGTAGCTGTCAATAGTGCTGAACCCCCTCGGTGTGGGTTTAGGTAGCTGTCCATGGTGCTGAATCTGAACTATGTATAGCTTCTTAACCCTCTACTGCACGCATTATGAGGGCAATTTAAAACATCTACTTTCTTGCATAAAATGGTCTTTATTAAATTATTATTATTAATAGGTTCCTTTTAGAGTACGTTGCCTTGAGGCAACATTGTGAGACTATGGGAAGAAATGACAGAGCCATGTTCCCTGATAAGATGAGCTTGTGACTGGCTAAATCCATTCCACTGTGTTGCTTCTGGCAACAAACATTTTTCTGCAAATTCTCATAACAAAATAATTGATACTGATGTTAAATAGGTTTAAAAGTGCCCACTAAGAGATAGTATGACTAATTACATGCTTTTTATTGATTTACTCAAACTCTTCACTACACTGTTAACCCTATTATTGTCTTTAAATATGTATAATGTTATTGTGAAGTGAGGAAAATGAGTTTGTTGCCTTGAGGCAACATCATGCAATAGAGGGTTAAACCAGTGTGAGGTTTAGCTGTCTGTGGTGTGGAGTAAAACTTTCTGGGGTTTTAATTGCTGTCAGTCATGCTGAGCCAATATTACACCAGGGTTATAAGAGTTAAATCTGTAATCAGTGACTCAATATGAAAATACTTAAATATTACGATGTAAATAAACCCTAAAAATATTGCATCTAACTGCCATCACTCTCACTTCTTTATGTGTGACCAGAGTAAAACCAGGACTGGAGTTTCAGATAACGGATTGGAGTGGTCATGCATATAAAATACAATAAAAAAAAATAAATAAATACTGTAAAAGAAAACATACAATAGAAGGACACTCCCTGGTTTCATGGCTGCAGTTGATAATCATTGAGTGGTCCCAGCCTAAGCGAGTGCAGACCAACACTTCTGTAACCATTACCAAATGGTCATAGCAATGCCAGTGGTTGTAATGTTGTTTTAACTATGATGCTTTTCCAGATACTTTGTTTTATTTATTATTGTTTAGAAAATAGCAGCAATAATAACGTCCAAAGCTGCCCAGTGTTTGGACCACAGCATCATTGCTGGCTCTCCACTCCTCTTTTCCCTGTAGAGCGTGTCTGTGTTTCAGGATGACTGTAGTCTTTATTACCACTGGATTATAGTAATTAGTACAATCGAGTGTAATTGGCCTGTAATTGTACGGCGCTGGCTGTATGTGGTGCTGGTCTAAATGGATGTAATGAGAAAATGAATCTGAACTCTATGAACTCTGCAGCAGCAGAAGCAGCGAGTGGAGTGCTCTGCTGAGCTGTGCTTCACTCCGGATTGCAGAATTTTATTTTCTGTTTTTTTTTAATGAATTCTGACAGGACTGAAAAACGTGAGGCGTTTGAAAGAGCTTTCAAGCAAAGTGTTTTGGTAAATAACTGTTTTTGTTTGTTTGTTTAGCTCATTCAAGACAACAGAACTGCCTCTCAGAATTGTATAATTCAGAATAGTGTAATGCAACCAACTTCTAAGACTGAACTTTGGAAAAAAATTTCCCTGCAAATTTCTTTGAAAGGAATGGACGCTGTAATGAAGGCAAATGTGGAGACAGTAAATCAGGAAACACTAAAAAGAATATTATATTTAGTTGTTATTTTGTGTAAAAAATGTTGTTTACTCTTTCTGACAATGCCAAATATTTAACGTATATTTGTAATGTATCTCTTTAATACATATACACAACAAATATACATTAAATACACATACATTAAATATTTGTCACTGTCAGAGTAAACAACACTTTGTTGAGTAATTAAATAAATGAAAGCTGGTCGAAGTTCTGAACATATTTGCTGGTATATTTAACATTTATAAAATATAGAAACCGAGATTATGTCTACCTGGATTAGCATTACAACGAATTATAATGTGTATTTAAGTTCACACATGCAGTAAAACCAGTGCATTTTAGCATAGCAACCTAGCATTGCCTAAACAACATGTACAACAGTATCTTATACCATTTGTCTCTTTGCTCTGTTCCCAGATCCGGGTATTCCGTCCCCCCAACTACTCTGGGACGATCGCGCTGGCCCTGCTGGTGTCCCTGGTGGGGGGTCTTCTCTATCTGCGCCGAAACAACCTGGAGTTCATCTACAACAAAACAGGCTGGGCCATGGCTGCTCTGGTAAGAGGGCTACGGACTACATTTCCCACAATGCCTCTGCTTTCACCTGCTGTGCCATGGCTCACGTGTGGAACAGGGGTGGTGGACTGTTTTGAAGGAATAACAACTCACTTTGCACTAATTCACGCTTCTCCCAGATGTAGCTGATCACCCAAGACATGCTTGGAGTTCAGTTTTTCTTTAGTTTAGTACGGAAGCTAACATTGCTAACAAACACTAGAACTCAATAGTCACCCAAATAGCCCAGATCCTTTCTTGTAAAAAAACACATCCAGGTCTTTATTAAGGCCACTACAGCTGTGTCAGACAACACCAGGGCTGGTATTCACAAACCAGGACTGATCTTGGATCAGATTTCACAATATTTATGATGGTCATCATCACAAATACTGATTCTAGTTCAGCTGTCCTGCTCAGGAAGTGGTCTGCTAATACAGATCCTGGTCATACTGTGTCTTAAACCACGTCAACAAATCTGACCTTAAAGAAGATGTGGGTGTACTTTAAATGGGCTGAGAAGTTTTTGGTGAAGTATTTTTTACAGATTTTACAGGGGGCTATTTGGGTGACTATTGAGATCTAGTGTTTGTTAGCAATATTAGCCTCTTAGCTCCAGTTCCTCTCTAAAAAAAGCAGAATTTGGTCTCCAGACATATCTCTGCTGACCGACCACATCTGGAGTAAGGCGAAATTTACTTTCTTCCCTGATGTCCACTTGGATCAGACACAGCAGTGCTGCTGGAAGTTTTAAACACCGTGTCCACTCACTGTCCACTCTATTAGACACTCCTACCTTGTCAGTCCACCTTGTAGATGTAAAGTCAGAGACGATAGTTCATCTGCTGCTGCACAGTTTGTCATGGTCATCCTCTAGTCCTTCATCAGTGGCACAGGATGCTGGATGTTTTTGGTTGGTGGACTATTCTCAGTCCAGCAGTGACACTGAGGTGTTTAAAAACTCCAGCAGCACTGCTGTGTCTGATCCACTCGTACCAGCGCAGCACACACTAACACACCACCACCACGTCAGTGTTACTGCAGTGCTGAGAATGATCCACCACCCAAATAGTACCTGCTCTGTGAGGGTCCATGGGGGTCCTGACCACTGAAGAACAGGGTAACAAAGTATGCAGAGAAACAGATGGACTACAGTCTGTAACTGTAGAACTACAAAGTGCACCTATATAGTAAGTGGAGCTGATAAAATGGACAATGAGCGTAGAAACAAGGAGGTGGTCATATTGTTATGCCTGATCGGTGTATGTAAATGTGTAAATGCTTGTGACATCACAAAAACGGTCAGTACGAAATCTGAACAGGATGTTTTCATTTCTACCGGCTCTTTCAGTCTGACTGAGTACAGCTGTTGCATCCCATCTCTTATCATTCCTACTGACCCTGTCATTGTATATAACTGATGTTTATGTGTTTTGATCCCGGAGGCAGCCTCACTTGGTTTATTAGCTGTTTGGCTATGCATGAGTGAACTGGACGCTGAGACTGGACGGTGCAATATGGCAGGAAATGTTTCCCTTGATTCTCAGTGCTATTTTTAAATATTACGACTATAGTCTGACCATGAATATTGTCATGGCATTAGAGCCTTGAGTAGAACCGTAGACGCTATTAGTTGGAGTTAATGTTGTAAAGGTCAGCGCCGTGTCCAAGTGAATTTCAATTAGACTGGACTGCATTCAGAGTGTTCATGCCAGCAAAAAATACCCTCGAGTAGTTTAAAGTTGAGACTGTCCAATGTTGTATTTAAACTGACCTGTTCATGCCCCGCCCACTTTCATAGCTGCTGTTGTCAGGTTGGACAAGCTTTATAGAAAGTTTGTAGAACAGACTCAGTTTATATCACAATACCTACATTTAGAGTCGGTTATTCATTCAACCTAATGAGAAACTGTAGAACAGACTCAGTTTATATCACAATACCTACATTTAGAGTCGGTTATTCATTCAACCTAATGAGAAACTGTAGAACAGACTCAGTTTATATCACAATACCTACATTTAGAGTCGGTTATTCATTCAGCCTGATGAGAAACTGTAGAACAGACTCGGTTTATATCACAATACCTACATTTAGAGTCGGTTATTCATTCAGCCTGATGAGAAACTGTAGAACGGACTCAGTTTATATCACAATACCTACATTTAGAGTCGGTTATTCATTCAGCCTGATGAGAAACTGTAGAACAGACTCAGTTTATATCACAATACCTACATTTAGAGTCAGTTATTCATTCAACCTAATGAGAAACTGTAGAACAGACTCAGTTTATATCACAATACCTAAATTTAGAGTCGGTTATTCATTCGACCTAATGAGAAACTGTTGAACAGACTCAGTTTATATCACAATACCTACATTTAGTCAGTTATTCATTCAACCTGATGAGAAACTGTAGAACAGACTCAGTTTATATCACAATACCTACATTTAGAGTCAGTTATTCATTCAACCTGATGAGAAACTGTAGAACAGACTCCGTTTATATCACAATACCTACATTTAGAGCCAGTTATTCATTCAGCCTAATGAGAAACTGTAGAACAGACTCAGTTTATATCACAATACCTACATTTAGAGCCGGTTACTCATTCAGCTGAGTACTCTTGGAAGAGAATGCTAACTGCTAATTCTGTTACGTCGACTGTCAGACATCCGTCTTGGCTAGCACCGGGGGAGGACCGACCAACCCACCCAGAGAGAGGGGATGGTTATGCTCTCTCATACCCCAGGTTACGGATGGCCATGGCATCACTGGGGTTTAAAGTCAGGATTAAGAGGTCTTCTGATGATGAGGCCAGTGCTATCACGTTTGAAGGTAGAGCATGAATAGGTCAAGCAAGACGTTTGGCTTTAATCTGCCGTCCTTAAAAGCAGCCCAGAGACATTTTGTCCTCCGGAGTATCCGCACTGTTGAGTGGCAGGTCGTGTGCAGCAGTGCCGGTGCGTTGAGGGCGGAGGGTTTGGAATGGTTTGCTGATTTTACTGGCGCAGGGTCAGCAGCGCTGTAGCTGTGAGCTATCAATATTTATTCAGAGAAGATGCAGGAGCGGAGGTGCCTGACCTTCTGCACTGTGCTGGATGAAGTTTATTCGCTGTATTGATTACAGACAGAGTCTCAGCAAAGGCCTCTTCTGCCTGTAAGGATCTGGTCGATCAATCTCTCTCTCTCTATGTGTGTGTGTATATATATATATATATATATATATGTATATGTGTGTGTATATATATATATATGTATACACTGATCAGGCCTAACATTATGACCACCTCCTTGTCCATTTTATCAGCTCCACTTACTATATAGGTGCACTTTGTAGTTCTACAGTTACAGACTGTGGTCCATCTGTTCCTCTGCATACTTTGTTAGCCCCCTTTTACCCTGTTCTTCAGTGGTCAGGACCCCCATGGACCCTCACAGAGCAGGTACTATTAGGGTGGTGGATCATTCTCAGCACTGCAGTGTTAGTGTGTGTTGCACTGAGTGGATCAGACACAGCAGTGCCTTCAGTCCAAACTGGAAAACTCCTTATACCTCATATTAGATATAAGATATAAGGAGTTTTTCAGTTTGGACTGATCTGTGAACGAGGCAGCCAATCAGAACAGAGGTCATTTCTGCATATCAGTCTTAAAGACACAGTAACAAAATCAGCCTGTTAAAGAGAGATTGGAAAGTGGTAATGTAGAAATGAATTATGACTGTTTTTGGTTTTGCTAACATTAGTGTACTTGAATCGTGTTGTTATTATTTACAAGAATAAATGATAAAAAATGTGAATCAGCCTCACATCATTTCACAATTCCAGTGATTGTGGCCAAATAGTTCCATTTTCACTTCATCAGTCCACAGCACTTGTTTTCAAGTTGCCTCTGGCTTAGCTGGGTTTTGCATGCTGCACTGTAAAAATGGCAAAACCTTCCCACAGGTTCCTTTGCTGTCATATGGGGGTTTTGCTTTGCCTTTCTATCTGAGAGTCCCTGATCTTGCTTTGTCTTTCACAGTTAACTAAAATTGTTAAATCAGCCACAGTATTAAATGATTGAAAGCTTGATTGGAGCTTCCATGTCTTCTCAAAACTGCATTGTACCTCTGAAATGATAACGTTCTTAAAGTTCTTAATGCTAATTTTGGGTTGTTTCTATTCATCTTGAAATGTTCAAAAAAGAGAAAAATGATTTGAGGTTTTAAAATGGAAGCAACAGTTTTAATTTATCTCATTTTCTTTTTCACCCTTGTCCTCTAGTGTGTGGTGTTTGCGATGACCTCTGGTCAGATGTGGAATCACATCCGCGGCCCTCCGTACGCCCACAAGAACCCTCAGAACGGGCAAGTGGTGAGTGCCTCGCTTCTCCTTCTGTTCTCTCTGTCTGTCAATCATTCTGGCACACGACGGCATGTGTTTTCCATCTCAACATGCGCTCTACCTGCTCTTCACATTATAGCGGCTGACTGTGCTTTCTCCAGCTGTCAGTCACTCAGGCGATGTGTCACTCCATCACCATATGCTGCTGCTGCTGCTGCTGTTTAGCATACAGCTAGCGCACGGGGGGCGTCTGGATCGCGCACACGCAGCACATGAATTCAGATGGGCTTACAGTCCGTTCGAAACCTGCCAGAGCTGAATAATGGGAAAGGGGTTGACACAGATATTTTATGATATTTGTGATATTTGAAGAAAAGAAAAGCAATAATTTACCTACATATCACTCTAACAATGGTAAGAGGGGAAGACAGTAGTTCTGTTTGTTTGTTAGCTCAATATAATGTCTATATTCTGTTAATTTTGTTATAAAATCCAGCCTCTTTTCTGCTTCAATTTCCCATTTACTTCCAAAATTGTGTGGAATCAATTCTTCCATCTACCTGTGCTGTGTTTCCTGTGTCAGTGGCTGTATCACAACCCCAAAACACAATAGATTCACCTCCATGCTTAACAGTTGGCAAGGCGTTCCTTTCATCAGATGCTGCTCTTTTGCTTTCTTCAAACATTCCTTTAGTGATTGCTGTCAAATTGTTCCACTTTTTTCGCTTCATTTAATGAACCTCCATGTTTAAATAATCATAGAACGCATTAAAAGCGTCTGCTGGTTCCTGGTGTTTTTCAGTCGTCGCTGGTTGATATCACAGTGTAAAGGATTCTGATTGTTTAGTCAGGTGTTCTGGGACTGATTCCACATTTGATTGTTTCCTAATGGCCTCTAACGGCAACCATCAAGCCAATTCCAGTTAGGAAGCAAAACCATAAGGAATCAGTTCCATCTACCTGTGCAATGTTTCCTGTGTCAGAGGCTGTATCACAACCCAAAAACACAGTATATTCACCTCCATGCTTAACAGTTGGCAAGGTGTTCCTTTCATCAGATGCTGCTCTTTTTTTTTCTACAAACATTCCTTTAGTGATTGCTGTCAAATTCCACTTTTTTCACTTCATCGGTCCACAGCCCTTGTTTCCAAAAGGCCTCTGGCTTAGCTAGATTTTGCACGCTGCACAGTAAAACGCCTACACCTCCCTGCAGGTCCTTTGCTGTCATATGGGGGTTTTGCTTTGCCTTTCTATCTTAGAGATCCAGATCTTGCCTTTGACTTTCACAGATCCCCTTTACTGCTATTTCTTAATGATGTCTCAGACAGTGGAAAACACTTTGATATCTATTTATAGCCTTTCTCTGCTTTATAGGCATCAGTTAGCTTCATTTTCAGATTCTCAGACAGCTGTTTATAGGAGCCATAGTTGTGTTGGCAGAAGGTGTGTCTGAGTGGATCAGACACAGCAGTGCTGCTGGAGCTTTTAAACACCTCAGTGTCACTGCTGGACTGAGAATAGTCCACCAACCAAAAATACCCAGCCGACAGCGTCCTGTGGGCAGCGTCCTGTGACCACTGATGAAGGACTAGAGGATGACCAACACAAACTGTGCAGCAGCAGATGAGCTATCGTCTCTGACTTTACATCTACAAGGTGGACTGACAAGGTAGGAGCGTCTAATAGAGTGGACAGTGAGTGGACACTGAGGTGTTTAAAAACTCCAACAGCACTGCTGTGTCTGATCCACTCAGACCAGCACAACACACACTAACACACCACCACCACATCAGTGTTACTGCAGTGCTGAGAATGATCCACCACCCAAATAGTACCTGCTCTGTGAGGGTCCATGGGGGTCCTGACCACTGAAGAACAGGGTAAAAGGGGGCTAACAAAGTATGCAGAGAAACAGATGGACTACAGTCTGTAACTGCAGAACTACAAAGTGCACCTATATAGTAAGTGGAGCTGATAAAATGGACAATGAGCGTAGAAACAAGGAGGTGGTCATAATGTTATGCCTGATCGGTGTATAGTGTATGTGTATATATACATACACACATACTACCATTGTCGTATAGATGTGAAGTGTGATGACACCTCACTTTTTCTTCAGAGACCTCAAAACTTCAGAATGCACCGCCAACGGCCATAAAACACACCACACGATCAACTTTTATTCCAAGCAAAATGACCGGTAGGCACAACCCCATAAATATCGAGCAGCCCTTCAAGTGTCCGTCAGCAGTATCAGAGTTTAACAACACTTGCTCTCGCACTCGCGCACGCACAAACATACTCATCACGCTATTCAAAGATGTGATAAGTCCTGCTCTCGCTTCTTGTTCCTCCTCCCAGAGGGGCTGGCGTCTCAGCAGTCCGGTCAATAAAACAATAAATCTCAATTGAATCCAGGCCTTTTAATTAATACACTATAAATAAGGGGATAAGAGGCTTTCCGAGCATAATCCCGACACCGATGATTCCCTTCTTCGCTAAGCCTGCTGCTGCCCTTTATTGTCCAGAATTCTGGAGAGAGATTGGAATTCATGCTGATATCAATAGGTAAAGTGCAGCAAAGTTTAACGTAGATCAGTTTGCGTTAAAATGTGTCTGTCCACTGCACAAATGTGTCGAAGGAGTCCACTTTTCTGTAACCACCAGCCTCTAGCAGTGACCATTTGATCTGCATTTTAAATGAGTAGTAAAATATAGAAAATATTCTGTACTGTTCTTAGTAAAAATGAAAATATGGAAGGATTAGCTTGTGTTTATTGCATGTAGCAAAAGAAGTAATCCATATATGATGGTTCAGCTAATTCCCAGTTAATATACGATTGTTTTGCACTCTACTAAATTGGCTTAGTCTGAGATGCAGTATGAGCTAAGTATCAGTTCCACCACTCAGTTCAGCTCAATTCAGTTCAAGTTTATCTGCATTGGGCGATTTTTCGAAATGGTGTGGGCACAAAGCAGCTTTATCCAGACCTGAAATGAGCAACCGTGGCATGAAAAACACCCCAAGAGCAAGAAGAGGAAACCTGGAGAGGAACCAATATGCCAGTCTCTTTGGGTCGACACTGGACAGCAAAACAAAAACACAACAAGCGCGATCTAAATGAAGAAAGACTGGACGATGAATACAGAAAAATGAACGGGCCTGTCATCGGACGCAGGTATTTAGATTAATAAATAATGATGGTGACCGATGACTAGTGTTAGAGGCCTGTCAGAGTAACCATGAGAAATAGATCTGTGGAAACCAGTGACTGCCGATAGAAGCCGATCCTGACGATGCGTCATGTCAAAAATGTTAAAAATTATAAGATGACACACAATTTACTTTCATTTCTTCAGTCCAGACTACATGTGCCTATTCAGACGCCCAGGATCTACTGACTTGTCTCGAAGTCAGGACTGAAAACTCATTTTGGACTAAAATCCTTTTGCTTTCAGTGACTCTATACCTTAATTATGTTTAGTAAAATTAATGATTGTTCCAATTTTTTTACTGACAATACAACCATAACACTACTGAAGCTTTAGCAGATGTTTCAGTAGGGACTGTTTCGGTAGTGACCATTTTAGCTCATTTTGAGCAGAACTCGAAAACACTAGCCAGTGCATGGCTAGCAAGCACAACTTTTGAAGAGCCGTACACACTTAAAATAATTGTTTTTTTTATTAAACGCAAAAATGTTTTCTTAACTGCCGAAAATGTTTCGGTAGTGACGGCTCCTATCGTTCCACACTGATTTTCAGACTCATTTCAATGGGATCTAACTGCTCACATGTGGCAATGAGGGACAGGGATGCAGTCTCACTTCCCGATCTAAAATGCAGGGGCGTGGATAAAATGAGGCTCCGCCTACAGACTAAAACTTTGTGTTTCGGTAGTGACATGAAAATATGAAACGGCATTTTTAAACGTAAATAAAAAAAAACTCATGATAATTTTAAAATGTTCAACTTAAGAGGAATAAAAAAGATCTTAAAAAAAAAAAGCATTGGGAAAAAATACGAAAATATATATATATATATATATATATATATATATAATTATTTTTCCAAGTGTCTATTTAGGGGTTAGAGTTTGGGACAGACAACTCCCAAAAAATGCATCCTGTAAATGATAAATTTGTATATATTTAGCTTATTACCATCTCTGTTAATGCGCAGCGTTTAAATAGATCAGAACATAATGCTTTAAATATCTGAAGTCTAAATATTTCATTTAATAGAAGTTTTGAGAATTTGACCACCTGTCTGACCACCATGGAGCTTCCTCCTGTACAACACTGTGCAAACCTCACCTGCATGAACTGACCCTCCTGATGATGCTGCTGCAGTTTTTTTCATCATAGACATTATTCCTCCTGCTTTTCCGTTCTTTCCGTATCTTGTATTAATGGTCAAATCTCATTTTCTGCTGTTATTGTTTTGCTATCTGGTGTTGACCAGAGGAGGATGGGTTCCCCTCTTGAGTCTTGGGCTACGTTCACGTTACCAGGTGGCACAAATCCAATTTTTTGCCCTAATATGACTCAGATCTGATGTTTTCAGGGCTGTGTGGACACAAATCTGATCTTTTCAAATCCGACCTGAGCTGCTTTCATATGTGCTCCTAGATCAGATCTGATTCGTGGCCATGCAGACTTAACAGACTTCATTTCTTTGAGTTAAAACATGAAAATGTGGGATTACAGTATACTTACAAACACAAATCTGCTATGAAAGTGTAGAATCTGCACTTTCCAAACAATTTCTCGACTTGACTCAATGAGCTACGAGTCAGAAATAATTCCAGTAAAATCATGACATGCTTTTGTCATCCCTGGCGATCACCGCGACTCAGGGTTAAGGACCTGGCGCGAAAAAGATCCTGTGAAATGTGTGGTGCGTCAGCTTCGTCCCGAGCGAAGCGGATGCTGTTTGGCGTGCCGGAGCGAGTTTGACTGGTCTTGCTTTAACACTTATACATTCCCGGCCTTTTAAAGCCGTGGTAACATTTCTAATTATAAACGGAA